AATTCAGGTAATTGAAATCTTTACATCCACTAAAGTTCATGTAATTTAATTTGAACTCTATTGGAATAGCCAATGAAAGCAAGATATTCGTTGAAATTTTCAGTAAAATACCTTACCGTTGAATTTTACATTGCAGCATAGCAAAATTTTTGTAGTCCTTTCAAACATTATTTTTTATGTAGTATTTATTAAGTAATTGTGTTTACAATTTTTCTATTAAAAATATATTAAACACGTGAACTTATTAGTTCCTATATTTTTTTTTCAGAAATCACTCATTATTTTATCTCAAGATTACCTATTAATTTACCAATTGAGTTACATTTCTTACATATTAAATACTATATAATTAAAATATTTCTTGTTAAGAACAAAAAACTAACAAGCGTTTAACAATTCAGTTCGATTACATCGATAAGTATATTTTTAGAAGGTTTATATTTAGTTATATCAATTATATCATTTTTGTTTATTAGTTTGTTTTATATTTATTAGTACGTGTCACAACTTAGTTATTATTCATATTATTTCTTATATTTAATATTTTTTTAAAACTTTATCTTGTTCTTTCACATGTTCTTAACTGTAGATTTGTCAAAAAAGACATAATATAAAGAATAGAATTTTTTCGATCTTCTGCCTCATTATATATCAAATATTTGTATATTCTATATTATATTATATTTAATTAAAATTTTTTATTAATATTTTAATTAAGTATTTACAATCCATAAATTCATTAATAATATTGTCAAGTCAACTTTTGTTCATAAAATTTTAAAAATATATTATTTTCATTGATTTACTTATGTTGAATTGAGAAAAGTTAAGTTTTTTAATTACATATAGGGAGGATATAATATTTCTTATATTTTTTATGTAGTATTTATTGAGTAATGTGTTTACAATTTAAACTTTTTAGTTCGTATAATTTTATTTTTTTTCAGAAATCACTCATTATTTTATCCCAAGATTACCTATTAATTTACCAATTGAGTTACATTTCTTACATATTAAATATTATATAAATAAAATTTTTCTTGTTTTATCTGTTCAATATGATACTTATATATTATATTAAGAAAACTAATATAGTAAATAAAAAAGTTATTTAAAATTAGAATAATAAAGATATTTTTTTTCTAATCTACATGTATAAATGTACAAATAACTATTGTCTATCACCTCAAATTTATACATAAAATTAATAAGAACAAAAAAACTAACAAGCGTTTAACAACTCAGTTAGATTAGATCGATAATATTTTTAGAAAGTTTATATTTAGTTATATTAATTATATTATTTTTGTTTATTAGTTTGTTTTATATTTATTATTACGTGTCACAACTTAGTTATATTCATATTATTTCTTATATTTAATATTTTTTTAAAACTTTATCTTTTTCTTTCACATGTTCTTAACTATAGATTTGTCAAAAAAGACATAATATAAAGTATAGAAGTTTTTCGATCATCTCCCTCTTTATATATCAAATATTTGTATATCCTATATTATATTATATTTAATTACAATTTTTTAATTAAATATTTACAATTCATAAATTCATTAATAATATTGTCGAGTCAACTTTTGTTCATAAAATTTTTAAAAATATATTATTTTCATTGTTTGCTTATGTTGAATTGAGAAAAGTTATGTTTTTTAATTATATATAGGTAGGATATAAGATTTCTTATATTTTTTATGTAGTATTTATTTAGTAATTGTGTTTACAATTTTTTTATTAAAAAAATATTAAAACACGTTAACTTTTTAGTTCT